GCAGATTAGCTCATTGAAACCCCAACTTTCTCTTTTCTCCTCCCCGTCAACAGTCAATGCTCCTTGAACTATCTGGGAAGATGCCAGAGTTCCCCACTTCCTTCTGCCTGCCTGGCTGAGGCTGGGAGGCAGGTGGCTTCAGGAGGAAAGTCACAGGAGAATGGCAAGTGATGGGACTTCAGCCTGGCAGCTGCTGATCTTTGCTCTAGCTGATTTCCCCCTTTGCAAATGGTTCTTTGGCAATTGAAACTGCAAATCTACTATCTGCTCCCCTATGTAAATTGCATCTACATTTAAATTGTGCATTCTTCCAGAGGATGGGGTGAGTAAATAACGCAGATTGAACTTGAGGAGAGGAAATTGTGCCCCGCGTCAAACCTGAGACTGAAGTGACATCTGGCTTTGACTATTTCCGTTATTTCAGTTTAATAACAGCATGTGGCATTAAGGGAAAAGAAATTGGATCCACATTTTAATGAAAGGAGGAAGCTCTCAGGGTTTAGATACCTTATCATGTTGAATACCTAGTCGATTGGCAATTAAAACTTCCCTCAAGAACTGGAATAAAATGTCTTTGCAGCCCGGGAGGAAATAAAAAGCAAGCTAATGCCCAAAACTTCACAGGTAAAACCAAGGGACATGGGGGCTGTAAACATCAAAACCGAATATTTCAGCATCCTGCAGAGTACAGGAGTCCTTCTTTAAAAAAATATATTTTTATTGATTTCAGAGAGGAAGGGAGAGGGAGAGAGAGAAACGTCAATGAGAGAGAATCATTAACCAGCTGCCTCCTGCACGCGTCACACTGGGGATCCAGCCCGCATCAGGGCATGTGCCCAGACCAGGAACCGAACCATGACTTCCTGGTTCATAGGTCAACACTCAACCACTGAGCCATGCCAGTCAGGCACAGTACAGGAATTCTTAAACAGAATAATGCTGAGAGTAGAGCCAGGGATGTGCTGGTGGGGGATCTTTAAGAGAATTACCTCAGACAGAGTAGTTTGCATATAATAGAGGGCTCCGCCCAAAGAGAGCATCTGATTGAATCCTTTGTCAAACTCGCTTGTTATAATCCCCAGAAGTCTGACCAAAAATTATTTTAGAAACGCCTGTTTCATTCCAATAGTTTAACTGCTTAAATGGAAGGGGTTCCACCTGCTGTTTGCTTTTTTTTTTTTTTTAAATATTTTATTGACTTTTTACAGAGAGGAAGGGAGAGGGATAGAGAATTAAAACATCAATGAGAGACAAACATCTATCAGCTGCCTCTTGCACACACCCCACTGGGGATGTGCCCGCAACCCAGGTACATGCCCTTGACCGGAATCGAACCTGTGACCCTTCAGTCCGCAGGCCGACGCTCTATCCACTGAGCCAAACCGGTTTCGGCCTGTTTGCTTTTTTAATGTAAAGCAATTCTAGGAAATGTAAACAAAATGCTTGCGCATCCTAATAACCCAAGCCTATCACGTATTTGCTTTGATGGAAACAAATGTGTCAACTTTCAAAGTCTTTGCCTGGTGCATCCCATGTTTGGGTGTTGGCAAACGCGTGTATTACATGTTTGTTTGGAAACTGAGCTATGGCTCTTGGAACTGTTGGCAGCGAAATGGCGCCAGGTGTGAGACCGGTGGAGTCAGACCGGACCTC